GTGTGTGTGTGTGTGTGTGTGTGTGTGTGTGTGTGTGTGTGTGTGTGTGTGTCAGTGTGTGTGTGTATGTGTGAATCTCAGACTGATTTGTGCATACGTTTGCATGTTCCGGTCACCATATTTGCCTGAATAAGTAAAACTTCTAGATTTTCAATCTGTACAGAAAACACGCCCTGCAGTCTTAGAAAACTGGACAAAATAAATATAATATAAAATGTGTTTTTTGCACAATTACATTTTTTTTTGCAGCATCCAAAAGTTCGCAATGTTTTCAACCTGGATTTCCCGGATAGCAACCATCTTGCCAAAACGTTGACCATTGTCTCAGGTCCAGACATGGTTAATCTGACCTACTATAACTTCTTTGCCTCAAAAGAGAAAGTGACGCAGGTAATAATAAAATACCACTATCTAAGAGGACCAGTCTCTGTGTTCCTGTTGATTTTATTTAACTGTTTACACTCTGTCTGTTGCTGTTTGTTCAAACACAATCACAGGCCATCAGACATCCTGCAATAATCCTTCGCTCCCACTCCAGTAAAGGCCAATAAGGCTCCCTCTGCCTCCCTTTTAGTTTTAGTAGACTTTATGCCTCCAGCATCCAAATTTAATCAGACTTAATAAAATTATAATTGTTCTTTGTTCAAAAGCACCTCTTACCATTTCCTGATTTTTTTCCCATGCTTGCACCCTCTAGTGGTGACTTTGTGTAGTTTTTTTAATCTGCTAAATAAGTGTTCAGCTCCTGTTGATTTTAATTGTAACACAGCTTTCTCGTTTGTTTGTCTTTGCAAAGAACTGGGCAGACGACATTCTTGCAATTGCATACAACGCTGCAAGAAACAATTCGTGCAGACAAGTTTTCCTGGAGAAAATGTAAGTGAGCGTTGTGGAAACACGGTGCAGAAGCCGAGTGAAGGTAATTCATCACAAACCGCATAAAACAGAGGTGTGATGAAAATACTGTGCTTTCAACCTCAGATACGTCCGCATTTCTCTTCAGACCAACAAGGATGGCAAAATTCCAGTAAAGAAGTAGGTTAAAGAATGGATTATTCTGCACAATGTAAAGGATTTCTACATTTTGGTCTGATTAAAGCTTGTGCCTTTTCAGCATTTACAAGATGTTTCCTTCTGACAAGAAGAGAGTGGAAAGTGCCTTGGCAGCAGCACACCTCCCTAAAGGAAAGGTCAGCTCTGAAAACCTCAAATGCTCGTCAAAATGTAGCTTTACTCCTGTCAGCTGCTCCTTTAATCTCCTCCTGTGTTTCTTATAGTTTAAATAAGACCATCAGATGTAATTATACCTTACACATACATTTAAGACTGAACCAAACTTAGTTGTGATTTCACAGAAATAAGTTGACATTTGACTAAAATGTCAATATTTGATGTTTCAGTACGAGAGCATCAAGCCTGATGTGTTCACTGAGACGGCCTTCAGGACCTTCCTGACAAACCTCTGTCCTCGACCAGAGATCTACGAGATCTTTACTACTTAGTAAGTTGGCATTCGTGTTCCAAAAATATTTCAAGAGAGGATTGAAAGCTCTTTAAGTTTTCAGTAAATGCTGATTCAGCCTTCACAATATTGGTATTTGTATTTTTTAAATGGTTTTTCACACATTTTTGTACAGTCCAAACACCTAAGCATACTTCTTACAACTTTAGCTGTTCTTATATCAAAACATTTGGCTCATTCAGGAGATGGGCGCTATTTCTTTTGTTTTTTTTTTCCCTACTTTTTCGACTTTTCCAAATATTTAACCATATTAACTTTCTTTCTGCCATAAAAATACACAGGTTTTTTTCAGTTCCTTCATAAACTTTGAGCTATATTTATACATTTGCTGTAGTTTTTTCTCTTACACTACATTTAACTTTTAGCTACCAGTCTGCTACTTTAGCTAGCCTTTTGACACTTTTAGCATTTAGCTAGCCTACGGTATTTCTATGTTTAGTTTTTAGCTACTGGTCTCCTTTTAGCTTTTAACTAATCCTTTGCTATTTTTAGCCAGCCTTTTGACACTTTTTAGTTCAGGGGTTCTCAAACCTTTTGGGTCTGGGAACCCCTTACAAGGGTGACAAATTTCCAGGAACCCCCTCATAAACCCCATGCTGTTTTAAAAATAATTTACTGTCATTTTAACCACCGAGTTCTATGGGAATATTATCTTTTGTTTGGTTTAGTGTGTTTGTTTTACTTGTGTATAGTTCCCCATATGCATATATTTTAAATAAAAAATTAACAATTTATTGAACATTTTTGAGGACCCCCAAGATACAGCTCGTGGACCCCAGTTTGAGAACCTCTATTCTAGTTAACCTTTTGATATTTTTAGCTTTTAGCTTTTTCTATACTTTGATTTTAGCTGCAATTCTTTCTCTCAYGCTATGAATTGCAGTAATCCTTTTGTGACGTTTAGTTTTTAGCTACTTTTATGCTACTTTTAGCATTTAGTTAACATTTCCATGCTTTTAGTTAGTGATTTGCCAACTTTAGCTTTTAGCTAGTGTTGTGCTATGTTTGACTTCTAGCATTTTTCTCCCTTCTCCGTCAGTCTCAGGGTTCAGACTTAGGCCTGTTAATCACACACAGTATGCTTCAGTATGTTTACACTCAGGTGGCAGGTAATGGTCACTGATGTGATTCTCCTGCCTCACCGTTCACTCCAGCTCCACCAAACCCACCATGACCAAGGATAACTTCACCAAGTTCCTCAACGAAAAGCAGAGGGACTCCCGACTCAACGAGGAGCTGTTTCCACGTCTTCGACAAGACCAGATCAAGGCCCTGATCGACAAGTATGAACCCACATCTAACAACGCCAACAGAGGTAAAACCCAGAAGGACTGACTCAAAGCTTCGATTATGTTCTTATATTTTTTATTTTCGGTGCTTCTTGGTGTTTTTTATTGCACCTGCAGGTCTGATCTCTCCAGAAGGTCTTTTGTTCTTCCTGATGGGTCCTGAGACGTCTGTAGTCATGCAGGACAAGCTGGCCAAATGTCAGGACATGACCCAGCCTGTACCGCACTACTTCATCAAGTCCTCTCACAACACATACCTAACAGGTCTGACCTRCAGATAAATCCTTCTGCTGAAGTTWCAGGGTTGAAATCTGGAGTTTAGAAGTATGACGGTAGAAATCGTAATATTTTAATTTGTTCCTGTGTGCAGCTGGTCAGTTCTCGGGGGTGTCCTCTCCTGAGATGTATCGTCAGTGTCTGCTGTCCGGCTGTCGGTGTCTGGAGCTGGACTGCTGGAAGGGCAAACCTCCAGATGAAGAACCCATCATCACCCACGGTTTCACCATGACCACCGAGATCCTTTACAAGGTTGTCTCAGATGCTGCTCATTGCCCAATATTCTCAGAAACCTCCTGAAATCAATGCAATAATTAAAACATCATCTCATAAACACACCTCAGAAGCTGCTCATGAAGGCTGTCAAACCAAAATTTATCTCCAAAGTAACGTCAGTAACYATTTAGTTGAGCAGAAAACAAAGAAAACCAAACTACAAGGATGATTCAAAGTGCAGAGTAACACAAAAAACAGGCCGGCGTCCTCCTCCTCACACTCAACACTTCCATTTAAGGACAGCTGCGGCTCCACGGTCCCATGAGCCCAAACAAAGCTGCACCGTTCTGTTTCTGCAGCTTTGATGTCCTCAGAACAGAGGCAATCACAGACACTGCAGTTTGACATAATATTCAGCTTTTGTCTAATTTTCTATCTTTATGTTCTCTGTTGCAATCCTGTTTCCAGTCCCAGGTTTATGTTTTCATAAAGGTAAATTTAAAAGACTAAAAAAAAGCCTGTTTTGTCATGTTTGACAGGATGTGATAGAGGCCATCGCAGAAAGTGCATTCAAGACCTCAAAGTACCCTGTCATTCTCTCCTTTGAGAACCACGTTGACTCGTAAGATCTGAACTTTTACTGTCCCAGTAGAGCCATCATCCTAAATGAAAAATTATAAATTAATTTATAATACAACTTTGGGTTTTGTTTCAGGGTGAAACAGCAGGAAAAGATGGCCGAGTACTGCAAAACCATCTTTGGTGATGCTCTGCTAACAGAACCTTTGGAGAAATACCCTGTGAGTCCCTCCTATATTACAACATTTTGTCTGAATAATAAACCTATTTTAGGTTTTATACCAAAACTTTATTAGATAAATTACTATTTGATATGTTCTGTTAGCATCTAGCACTGAAAATATAATGGTTTTTGCGATCTGATCACKTTATTAAGAAGCACTAAAATGCAGTGTTGTATAAAGTATCACAAAGTGATACTTGAGTAAAAGTACAAGTATCTTACCAAAAAATTACTTTGGTAAAAGTTAAAGTCTCCTTTAGGAATATTACTCAGTGTTGTATAAAGTACCACAAAGTGATACTTGAGTAAAAGTACAAGTATCTTACCAAAAAATTACTTTGGTAAAAGTTAAAGTCTCCTTTAGGAATATTACTTGAGTAAAAGTCTTAAAGTATCTGATAATTTCTGTACTCAACTACTAAAAGTAAAAGTATAGTATTAAAATGAGCAGTTAGATTTTCTGTAATGATATTTATTCGGTGACCTCCCAAAAAATACTGAAATGACTGTTTCGTATTACAATGATTAATTTATGTTAAATTTAAGATGCACTAGTTTAGCTGTTTCAGTTTATATACATATATCAAGGGTACACAAACCTTTTCACCAAAATGAAAATCTGTCTGAGGGCTGCGACCAAATGTAATAATATAATTCATGAAATATAAATACTTAACTTTTATTTTAAAGATTTTGTCCTGCTGGAGTGTGACATAATTTGTTTGTGTACAAACTAATAGGGTATCAGAATTTTAGATATTTATACTTCTCATTCAACCACAATTAAATTCACTTTATCTAGGAGGTGTCGTGATTTGTGTCTGTGCTTATGATTTAGTCTAAGTTTTCTGTCTTTTCCTCCTGTCTGCCTTTGCTCTAGCCCCGCCCACTCACACCTGATCCTCATGTTTCTTCCCCAGGTGTTTCTTGTTTTACCTC